GACAGATAGTGGGGCGCTTGAAGATGTAGGCAATAATTGTCACTGTGTCTTTTGGCCAATTGGAATCTTCCCGCACACATTGCCTTGATGGAGTCTGGTTGTGTGTGTGAAGATGCCGTTGGTGTGTGGTGAGCTGGGTCTAGAGGGGGCATTGGCTTCAAGAATGGTCGCCTCGCTCTGTAGTGCTCCCCAGATGCAGTATTATAGATTATTATTATCAATTACAATTTAATTGTGTTCGTGTACAGCCCTAAATCATAACTTCTAAGCATGTCGTCTTGGAAGAACACTTTACTAAGTTGTCAATTCCTCACACAACAACAGATCAGAGGAACCTGACCGTTATCATGGAAAAATACAATAATACAACTAAACCATAAGGGGATGACCAGTGTCAATATATGGACTCGAGGCCTTCGTAGATCAGGTCTGGAGGCTGTTAGACTCATGGTCTGGGCTGTAGATCCGCGTCTCGATGGCTGTGGATCTCACGGACTATGGGTAGTGGATCCGGACTCTGGCCGTGTGGATCACCAGGGACTGATGGCTTCTAGATCCAGGACTCAGGCTTGTAGATCACAGGAACTGAGGCTACTAGATACAGGTATCTGGGCTGTACCATCCAGGAACTGAGGCTGCTAGTCCAGGACTCAGGCGGTGCGATCCCAGGACATGAGGCTCTAGATGCAGGATGAGGTGGGGATCCAGGTCTGATGGCGGTCTGATCCAGGGGTATGAGGCTGTAGATCAGGACTTAGGATGTTGTTCCAGGACATCACGGCTGTAGAAAAAATCCAGGTCTGAGGCTGTAGATACTGGACTGTGAAATGTAGATCCAGGGCTGAGCTGTAGATTCCCTGGGGACTGACATGTACGACCAGGTCTGAGGTGTAGATCCGGGATGAGGTGTAGAATCCATGACTGTGACTGATAGATCCTGGACTGCAAGGGCCTGTCAGACACAGGAATGAGGAGGTAAGGGGCCAGGGTAGTGGGATGCAAGGAACAGGAACTCGCAGTACAGTCCTTACTTTGCTGTAATCCTATACAATATTCTCCGCTGCTGTGTTTGTTAACACAAAGTCATATTAGCTACAAACAATTAAAGAATCGTCTAAGTAGGAAAGTTTATCTACACGTTTCCTAATTTTCGTTCTTTAAAGAGTCCCGTGTTTGAGATATGCAGCTTGTCTTTCACATCCTTTGTAACCTTACACATTTCACCCAGGACTCATTTGTCTCAAGCCTTGAAAACATTCATTTTATCTAAGGTCTATATCAACTCTATAACTTTGTTGAACTGTTGCCTTTACTTATTACCTTTTTTCTTGTGAACGTTTTAAATTTCCTTTTCACTTGATTTACATATTGGGTTTGAATCAGAGCTGTCAAAGGCACGCTGCGTTCTAGATCTCCAGTGAGTGAATGCACGCCTGAATATTTTAAGTTATATAACTTTGCTATGGATTTCTGTATCCATTGTTTTACCTTCACAAGACCGCATACCAATCACAATGCCGGCACTCGCTGCGTAACTTAAAGGATTAACTTTTGGGTTTAAGAGCTCAAGGACGATCAACCAAATATGCATAGGTCACCGCTCAGTGTGGAAAGGACATGTCTGGGAATTTATAAAACATGCTAAACATCACTCGTATAGACATTATTCTCACAGTTAAAATACGTTGTTGTTCTAGAATCTAAACTGTTTTTGGAAAGTATCTAGTTAGCGTGGTATGATTTGCCTTGAATCTCTGAGAAACCGTTATCTTTTGCCAGAGGGATAGAAGCTGGACATGGCGTTTTTAGGGGCCAGAAGAGTCGGAGATTGCTCACATGAACATCCCATTGGGAGTGAAGTGAACGGGCCTGCAATGTGCATAGGGTTGGACGCGAGATTGATTTTTATTATAGTATTTTTGAAGTTTATTTACTCCTATGAATTTCTCTTTCAGGGAGAGATTAATGTATTAAGTGAATAACTCTATGACTATATTCACTTAAATAATATAACCAATAATCCTCTAAGGTTAGCATCAATAAAGAAAGCCAAGTCTCTAAAAGTTTCTAGTGTAGATTCTGCCAACAGCACCCCTGTTTATAGTCCCGGACCCAGTGTAGAGGGGCACAGGCTCGAGGGGTGAGGTGTGAGGATCAGGGTGGGGTCCTGGTTTAGTGCTGGCCTTGTCGTGTGGGTGCATAATGATTTTTAGTTAGTAAGGGGAAACGATGGAGCTATACCGGAGGAAACCTAGCAGGAACAAGGGTGATGAAAACATGGTAAACTCTACACATGATAGTCCCTAGGAGCGAGAGAGAGACTGTGATGCAAAGCATTTGTGTCGTGGCCACTCCAAAAATGTAAAAATAAACGTATAAGTATTCCATAATATCTTAGACTAAAGGCAATTGTATTTTATCTATTATTGTTTTAATAATTTTTCACCACCTGGTGACTATGGAGTTCTTATGATACAAACCGTTTATTACACCCTTATTCATAACACAAAAGTCATTCTCACACTTCTTTGACACCCTCCCCTTTCGAGGTCCGTACCGTTTATCTTGTTCTTCCTAGTGTGTCACGCTTGGGGGCGTTGAATCACACTTTTCTAGGTTCTATAGTTCAGCGACGCAGAATCATGGGAGAAAAGCTACACGAGGGCTTAGTATAACACCGACATAAAGTTAAACACATTTATTATTAAACACAACCAGAAAATAGCCGTGAAGCAAAGACTGAGTATGGGTGAGATATGGGTCTACAGTTATTCTGTCGTGTCCTTGAAAAGGAGATACAAACGATAATTTATAAACTCAAAATGTGTCTCAAAAATCAGTTTATTTCAAGCGACATTTTTTCTGTTTCCCGTATGTAAATGTTTAAATTGTGTTTCTCCTTACCATCTCAATTTCCCAAGAAGTACATTATATACACTTTGAATCACGCCGGTTTTTATCCCGATCCATTAATAACACCTGAACATCTTGTAATTGTTACTAAATTGTGTGTTACCCTTATATAGTATCATCAATTTTGGAATAAGTATAAGCAATACAGATTAATTTAATATATACATTACTAATAAAATCTTTCTAGTTTTGTGTCACAAAGGTATAGGCCTGTGTCATATAGTATCTATGCAGACAATTGGATGATCCCCCCCCTCCCCTGGTAACTTGTCGGAATAGGTTCGGGTACAAGATTCCCACGTAGAGGAGATGGTTCTTATAAATCACATGTTTTTGATTGGCCAGTAACAAAAACATGCATGTATGGCGGACTCATAGCTTTGTCCAATAATAAGTGAGCTGGTAATTTGTGGGGTGCAGCCCTTATTGTTAATCTGTGATGGTCGGATCATATGTGAAACTCTGGGAATAAGGGATCGTTCCAAAGTACATTTTCTTTTTTAATTCAACCTAACAATTTGAATATTTATGTTCTATTACATGTCAAAGTGTGTTTATAGTAGCCTCGATTTCTGCTCTTTTCTCCCTCTGTGTTTTTAGAGTTGTATTCTTGTCGATTTTTATTTATTTTT